GCATGTGCCCTGACCGGGAATCGAACCAGTGACCTCTCGGGTGTATGGGACGGTGCTCAATCAACTGAGCCACACTGGCCAAGGCTAATTTAACTTATTTTAAAAAAATATTTTTATTGATTTCAGAGAGAAGAGCGAGATAGCAACACTGGGGATGGAGCCCGCAACCTGGGCCTGTGCCCTGACTGGGAATCAAACCATGACCTCCTGGTGCCTAGGTTGACGCTCCATCACTGAGCCACACTGGCCGGCTATCCGTTCTTTCTTTTCCAGCTAAAACACCCCCGTTTTCTCTGGGTGGTAGTCAAATACGGAACTGGAATGATGGGGTCTTACCCGCCGGCCAGTCAGAATCGATGTTGAGTGTAGCAGCGCCGACTCCCCTCCCCACCTTCCCCATCACACATGCTCAGTGAGTCTGGAAGCCAAGGGACCCCGCCTTCCTGCTCCAGGGGCCATGCACAGACCTTCACCCCCAGAATTCGCATGTCGGCCGGTGGCACAGGCAGGGCTGAAGCAGTGGGCACGGACGTGTCCCCAAGGTGCTGCCCTGGAAGCGCCAGCTTCCTGGCCCCTGGGCCCCGCTTTCCTCTCTGAGACCCTGGGTCCAGCTTCTCCTCTGACCCGTCAGCTCCCACCGTCTGCCCAGTGACGGGGCTTACATTTCCCAGAATTCATTGCTGTTGCTCGCAGCCAAGGACCGGAGATGGTAAATTCAGAAAATCAGACACTAAACCAATGTTCCGCCCTGGAACCTCTTCCTGGGTCGGTTCATCATAAACTGCGGCGACAAAGCTGCAGAAGGAAAATGCTGTCGGGAGAATGAGTAGGAAACGCAATGGCGATGGGAGAGCCTGGGGGGCTCCCTGGGGGGACAGAGGGCGGGACCAGGTGCAGCTGAAGGCTCCGCTTTCTGTGGGTTCCTGCCCCCACCTGGGTTTCCGTATTTTAAATTATTACTTCTTTAGCCCTGGCCGGTGTTGCTCAATGGTTAGAGCGTGGGCCCTTGCACCTAAGGGTCTCGGGTTTGATATCCAGTCAAGGGCACATACCTGGGTTGCAGGTTTGATCCCCGGCCTGGTCGGGGCACGTGCAGGATGCAACCAATTGATGTTTCTCTCACCCAATCTCCCTCCCTCCCTTCCACTCTCTAAAAAGCCATGGAAATGTGTCCTCAGGGGAGGATTAATTTTTTTAAATGCTTAAAGCAGTAGCTCTTTGAGTTTCTGGAATTCTTTCTTGAGCCTTAGTCGCTGGAGCACATCTTCCAGAGCACGCTTCTGAGCGCGAATGCACACAGGCACCTCCTGGCGGGTTCCTACACTGTGGTCTGAGTCTCTTTCCCGTGAGCTCCCTGGGAGGCTGGCGCTGCTGGCCTGAGGCCCGGCTCTCAGCTCGAGGCTCCCCAGCCCCGGTGTCCCAGATCCCCATGTTGGGGTTCCAGACCAGTTCCCCGATCTGTGCAGAGCACACGTGTCCTTCCGCACCCGGCCAGCAGGTGGCAGCAGCGCACTCCGAGAGTCCCCGTGGGACCCAGGCCTCCTGAGGACCAGGTGGTGGCTTCAGAGGGGTTCAAGGAGCTTTAACGCTCCTCAAAGTAAGTGTCATCA